GACATGAGACAAAGTATATGTGAACTGCTGTATGAAAAGTGAATTTACTCTGTAAATCTTCACCCAAATCAAAATAAAATTTAAAAAAAAATAGGCTGAACACAAGTAAAACAAAAAAAGTAGGTTTTAAATCTAATCACTTCTGAGTTTATAAAGAGCACATCAGAGAGAAGCTTAACACAGAGGTCATGTGAAGATCAAGGAAACAAGGAATGCTAGAGGGCTACAGAGACAAGGAAGCAATCAACACAGCAGAAAACCTGATTAGGAGTTTTGGTATCAGAATGATGATAAAATATATACTTCTGTTCTTTAAAGCTGTGGTATTTTTGTTACAGCAGCACTAGGTAACTAAAGATATATACAAAGTATGTTTTCTGACAATAAAAGAATGAAACTAAAAATTTTTAAGACAAAGTTATCTGGAAAACCTCCAGCTAGCTGGAAATTGGAAGAAAAAAAAATCCAATAATCCATGAGTGAAAGAAGAAACAGTTATTTTGTCTAGCTTACTTTAAGGTTATCAAATGTTTGTTCTGGGTCTTTTTAAATACTCATGCATTAATTTAGCATAATTCTATTTCTTCCCTAATTTAATCATGTTATTTTATATCCTCACAATTAAACAGCTACTTGCATGTGCTAAATCTTGACAGTAATATTTTAAGATATCACAGACTCAATGTCACCATTTAATGTAATTGTGATTTTTTTTTTATTACATTATCATTTTTAAAGCAACACTAAAGAGTATATGTCTCAATCTTTACAACTGCTAGCACAAGATTACCTAGATCAATGGTCTCCAAACTAGGCAGTAATTAGGACTATCTAGAGGTATGAGGGGGAGCTCTGGTAGCGCAGTGCCTAAGGCACTTGACTGCTAACCAGAAGGCTAGCGGTTCAAACTCACCAGCCACTCCTCGGAAGGAAGATGGGGCAATCTACTTCCATAGTGATACTGCCTCAGAAACCCAAGGAGGGGTCGCTATGAGTTGGGTCCGACTCGATGGCACATAAGAACAACAAGAGATATGAGGAGCCCTGGTAGTGGTGTAGTGGGTAAAGCACTTGACTACTAATCAAAAAGTCAGTAATTTGAACCCACCAGCTGCTCCATGGGAGAAAGATATGGCAGTCTGCCTCTGTAAAGATTTATAGCCTTGGGAACCCGATGGGACAGATCTCTGTTCTATAGGGTCGCTATGAGTCAGAATCAACTCAACAGCAGTGGGTTTGTATTTCTGAGAATTGAAAAATAGAAAAAAAATGATGTAAACTTGATTTAGAGGCATTTGTAAATCTCATTCTTTAGTTCTTATTTTTTAATACATTTTATTAATTAGACCATTTATGGAGCACTTATCACATACCATGCATTATTCTAAGCAAATACATTAACTCATTTAACCCTCACAATAATCCCAATACTCTAGTATGTAGATAAAATTATCACTCCATTTTACAGATGCGAAAACTAAAGCACAGAGTTGGATGTTATTTGTTTGTTTGTTTTTTAGTGGCTAGCCCAACATTACTTTGTTAGAAATAGGATTTAAATCCTAACATCCAACCCCTTTTTCTTAACCACTAATCTATACCATACATAATATAGTAGCTCAGTAGTATAGGCATACAATTCATGAATAAATATACATGTATTAGAAGTTCAAGCTCAAAATGTTTTATTTTAGGTTTTGATTTTTCACTATAAAAATGACTAAAAAGAAGCACTTGTCTAAATAACATAGCCAACTTATTTTTATAGCAGCCAGGAACTAACTTGATTATGTATTTATAAAACCAATTTTAAAGTCTTCAATTTCATTTGTTATTAAAATATTCCTTTCAAAAATGTTTGTCTCTATGATTTAGGGAAAAAATCATATAGATCTAAAGTTAGAAATGAAAGAAAAGTCAGTGACTGGTCTGGGTGGATTAATAAGAAGACAGCACATGCTAAAGCAATATATAAACCTTACATGGTAGCGTAGTGTCTAAGGCACTTGACTGCTAACCAGAAGTCACTGGAACCACCAGCCACTCCTCAGAAGGAAGGTTGGGCAATCTACTTCCATAGTGACACTGCCTCGGAAACCCAAGGAGGGTCGCTTTGAGTCAGGTCCGACTCCACGGCACATAACAACAATATACATTAGTAATGATAATGATGATAAAGAACTCAAATGGACAGATAAAAGCCCTAGCAAATTAATCAAGGGGTGATGAGACTACTAGGCATATGCTATTTTTTATAACGTAGCCACAACTACATTTTAGAATTTGCCATAATCCTGCCTAACCGAACTTTTAAATATTGACCATCAAGTCCAAAAATGGCATCACAGCTAATATACTAGAAGTCGTAAACAATTATTCTACTGAGGCTTAAGAGTTGTAGGAGATATAAAGAAGAGAAATAAGTAGAAGAACGAACAAAAATGGAGAGGTTGAATGGAAATAAACAAGGTGTAGGCAGGCTGATACCCAATTTTTCACAAATCACAGCTACGCAATAAATACCATGTAGTACATTGTAGCATTTCATGTAAGCATACATACTGGTCAACAATATTCACCAAAGATGAATATTCAGTAGTGTATCCATTTAATATGTTACCTAATACATAGCCATAGCAAGAGATGAGAAAAAAGGAATTTTAAAAAAGGTGAAAAATATTTGCACATTGAGATATTTTATTTTTCCAATAACAGTTAAAAAAAAAAAAAACCTAGTTATTTTGGGTACCTTTGGTCCTGAAACTGGATGGATGGCATTTTTGGCAGATATAGGATGTGGAAATGCATTCTGGAACACAAATGCAGAGGAGACAGGATACCCAATCCCACAAGCTGGGTAAGTCAGTCTACCATCAATCTAAAAATGAAAACAATAAAGTAAGGATGAGAAATTAGTTCTAAGCCCTATTTATAATAATTGTTATAATAACTAATAGTTAAGAGCACTTTGAGAGGCCAATGTTATTTATAATATAAATTCCTGGTTCATTACATAGTATGAGAGTGGGATGTCTTTGGCCCTCTGGTTTTTTCAGAGAGTCTGGCCAAGCTTGGACAAAACAAACTGGGCCTGCCCTTGAACTGAGTTGAAGCAAAGATCTCTGAATCACCCTCCTTTCCTCTAGGTCTCCCATTCCTGAAAAGGAGAAGCAAAGATTAAGAGGCCAATCAGGGATAAAATAAATTTCTCTCAGATTGTCTGAGTGAAAAACAGATCTAAGTAAGAAGTGATTTGCTTTGCCACTTAATGTTCAATATAGTGACAGCACTATTAACCAGTGTCATAGGATTACAGGAACAAAGTTTATTTTCATAAGAGGTCAACTGAAACACAAATCTTGAGAAGCAACTGTGTTCAGTGGTGGATGATAAAAATACACTGCACTCTAATATTTATCAGCAGTCATTCAAGGTTAAACCTGTCAAGTTTTTAATTCAGCAGTTCCAGGAACTTCTTTCTGTACCTTTTTCCAAGTTCAAAGCAAACCTTCATCTTCTTTAGACATGTAGTTCTATCTGATTTACTGGTGTAGTTTAAACATTCAATTAGGCATTTGAATTTTAAACCCTGTCAAGGTCCCCCAGTCACTGACTAACAGGAACCCGCCTGTAGGTACACAAAGTAGATTATTACTCCTTGAAACATGGTAGCCTACATACCATGGGGAACTGAGGATATCTCAGGTAAGTGGGTGTTAAAAGGGACTTATAGAATTTGGATACCCATTAGTGAATTAGGAATGGGGGCTTTGCTTTGGATTGGATGCTGTTAGGACATGGGGATAATTTTATGACTGGGTATCTTAATCTTTAGGTGAGAGGAATGTATTAAAGCTAAAGATATCATTGGTAAAGAAGCAGCAACCACTATGGTGAAGTGTTGAATAGGACAGAAAAACAATTTGTCATTTTTGTGGTTTGACAATGCTCATATTTTTGTCTGTGCTCAGATATGATTATGAAGGGTCCTGTTTTCATCTTGATCTATCACAGTCACAGTATCAACCTTATATGACGGTGATGTTCTGTGAAAGTGTTTATGTTCAACAGATGAACAGCAAGGCCTAGCTGTAAGCATCAGGCTAGCTCCTAGATAGATATAAAGAACTGCCTTTCTCTTTCTCCCATCTTATTTCCAGCAAGAGAAAAGCAAGAAACCTAGCCCTGGGAGATAGAAAGTATGTGTCATAACCAGTTTATTCCAGAATCTAGAGACCACAAAACTGCTACCAGAGTTCCCAACATTCTTTTTCTGAGAGAACTTAGTTTAGGTTCCTTCCTTTTAGTTCCAACCCCTGAAATTTTTCTTCTTGAAGTCTTGCCAATGCCTCTGTGTGTGTGCATGTGTGTGTTAATGTTTTTCAGTACATTTGACATTTCTTTAGTTGGTACTAAATAATTTCTATACCCATTAAATATAGTCTTACAAAAGTATGTATTTCAATATACCTCTTTGTTAAGAGCAAGTACAGTATCCCTACATCTCACTTCCAAGGGCAAGTCAAACTCTTTAAGTTCTAATAATTGTAGGACTCCAGTCTGTCTTAGTACCACAACCTTATGTCATGGAGATTTCACTGAAAAAACTGTTTTATTAATTTCAGTCTTACCACATTAGAGTTAGGAGAAATTCCACTTCTGATTGTGTTGCTGCTAGAATGTGCAGGTGGAGTGGTAGAAGATCCCAATGCATCTTGCTTTCTCACTACTTGATTTTCATTTAGTTCTTTATTTAACCATGTGATTACTTAAGTAATAAAACAACATGAGAAAAAAGGTTAAAATTTTTATTTTACCATTTTTATTTTTCTAATAATTTTAAAGGAACTCTGGTAGTGTAGTGCCTAAGGCACTTGACTGCTAACCCGAAGGCTGGTGGTTCAAACCCACCAGCCACTCCTCGGAAGGAAGGTTGGGCAATCTACTTCCGTAGCGATATCACCTCAGAAACCCAAGGAGGGGTTGCTATGAGTCAGGTCCTACTCGAAGGCACATAACCACAACGATAATTTTAAACATTTAAAAATTATGTTGAGATTTTAAGGAGCTCTAGTGACAGAGTGAGTAAAGCATTTGGCTGCTAACCAGAAGGTCAGAAGTTCAAACCCACCAGCTGCTCCATGGGAGGATGATGAGGCAATCTACTTCCATAAAAATTTATAGCCTTGGAAACCCAATGGGGGTCACGATAAGTCAGAATCAACTCAATGACAGTTGGTTTGGTTTTGGTTTCATTGAGATTTGAAAATTTTTAAGTTTATAAAACTATTTTATGTCACTGGAAAACAATACAGGTTTACCTAAATACTTGTCATTAAAGATTTTTTATTTTAGCACTATGACAAAAGGCTCCTTATTCTATTACTCTCAGAAGCATGTATTTCTGCTGGTCAGGAATCTCAAGTCATAAAACTAAGTACTTTTGAGGGTTCCCATTTCTAAAATGATATAGTTTTATGTAAAGTCTAAAATAAAAGCTTATGTCTGACACCCAGTGCCAGAAATTGAGAAGATACTAAAGGACTGATCTTATGTTTCAGTTTAAATTCATACTATTACTACCAGATAAACAATGGAAAAAAAAAAAAGACAATAAAGAATTCAAATGGTACACTTTCTAATGGTGGTAATTCTTTTATAAGGTAGTTGATAGAGTTTACTATAATAAAGACATTAAGATAATATATATTTAAAGCAGAAATTATTTACATATTTTTAATTACCTAGATTTTTATGAATTTTCAAGATTTGGAATGAAACTACAAACCTCACTTACATAAAATGTAACATACTTACACTTTTCATTATTTTTCAGAAGCTGTTTGCTTTCTTCAAGTTTTTGAACTGTAGCTTCTAATTGTTCTTGTAATCTGCATACCTGAAATATGACAATCTTCACAATAAATCAAATATAATAAAGGCCAAAACAAAACTAAAGAAATTAACATTAATTGCTTAGTACTAATTATTGTTAAATGAGAGTAATACATTTAGTTCAAATATGTAATAAAATACTTAATATGTACATACCTATACATATGCATCTATATATCTGAATACTTACTGTATTTGAGTCACAGTAATTTTTAAAAATGAAATAAGCTATTAGCGTCTATTGAATCTAGTCATGTATTTTTATTTAAAAAAAAAAAACATGCATTATTTAACTTAACAAAATAAAAATCTGAAAAAAAAATGTATCTGAGGAAGCTTGTTATACTTTGCAAATAAAAGTCACACACACACACACACACACACACAAATATAAAATATTAACTACCTCTTGCTCTTTAATTCGGAGAGACTGTTCAACATCTTGTAATTCCTTTTGTTCTTTTTGTAATTTTTCTTCCTTCTCAGCCAAGAGTTTTTCTTGCTGAATAGTAACTGTATTCTTCAGTTTCAACTTTCCCATTAAAGTTTTCAGATCCCCTTGTAACTTCTTAATAATTTCATTTGCCTGTAAAAGAAATACATATGTATACCTCAACATAATCCAGTGAAATATTAATATTCTATTAAAATTTTAAAAACAAACCTTAAGAAGTTCTGCTGATAATGATTTTATTGTAGCTTCAAGTTTTTCTAGTTGCACTTGACTTTTTTCTCCATTTTCTTCTAAAGCCACCTGAATGTATTTTTTAAGAAACATGAATAATTAAGGTGTTTACGTTTGTTTAGGAAAAGCATTACTTGTAAATGTAATCACTGATTTATTTTACAAATTTAAAAGTAGACCTTTTGTTCCTGGATTGTATCAAATGCTTCCTTTGTTCTTAAAACAAGCTGGTCCTTATCCTTGATTTCCTGTTCTAAAACAGCCACTTTTGTTTGTAGCTGATTAATATGCTTTTCTTTTTCATGGCATTCAGCATCTAGTGTAGAATTCTCTCTTCGCAAAGAGAGGACTTCTTGCTTAGCACGCTGGAGCTCCTAGAGGTAAAAAGAGAAACTGAAGGTATCTTTATACAAAAGGGAATTTGGCTTCTCCAGTTATTTATAATTAAGATGTTTAAAATATAAAAAATGTCATTAATAATTTTAAACTCTAATACGTATGGTGTTTTAAAAGGACATGAATGTCTCTACTGTATGTGCAACTTGTGGAATTGTAAAATAAATATACTAACATCTAATCCAATCACATCAAAGGTGAATAAAATAATCTTTTTGTTTGTTTCATTCATTTTTTGCCCTTCTGTTCTCTCATTCTAAAGAGTTTGTCTACCTGATGTAAATGGTCACCCTATATGCCTGTCTATTTTTTGGCTGGAAGCTTGATTAACTTTTAAAAAGTTGATTACTCTTTGAAAAACTAGTAACAAGAATTTTCTGAAGTCTTAAAATTTACAGTTTTAAAAAATCACTTAGGGGTGATTTAAAAAATTATCAGGGGTGGATTAGCCAATAAGCAAGATAAGCATGGGCTTACTTGTGCTTACTTACTAATCTGTAGTGAACAATTTCACATGGGTTTCACCACATCTTTGATGTGAAAACATACTCTATATACCCTATTTTGAACTATTCTAGACACTGGGTGCTAAGGGGGCAGGGAGGCAGCATCTTCTGACCTCCTCCAACTACACAAGAGGACGACAGAATCACCATCAGCAGCTCAATGCTGGTTCCTATGAGGCCAGACATGCTGCCACCCTCCAGCCCACTTACTAACCTTAATACCAACCATTCGCCCTGTGGCACCCACCACCTCTCTGCTGAGTTTGATAATTTGCTGCAGTGGCCACACAGAACTCACAGATTATGGAGTTTATTAGGGAAGCAACAGGCTACAATTCAACTTCAGGAACACATTCAGTCTCTCTCAGCTGGCCATCTCTCTCTTAGCACTGTGTGTCTCTCATGTGTCTCTCTCTCAGCAGCTTGATTCTCTCAGTAGCATGTCTTTCTCAGCCAGCAGTCAGAGATTCTCTCCTCCTGTCTCTCTCTGTTGTTGTTATTTGCCATCGAGTTGGCCCCAACTCATAGCAACCCCTCCTTGGGTTTCCGAGGCAGTATCACTACAGAAGTAGGACTGCCCAACCTTCCTTCCGAGGAGTGGCTGGTGGGTTTGAACCGCCAGCCTTCTGGTTAGCAGTCAAGTGCCTTAGGCACTATGCTACCAGAG